TTTTTTTTTTTTTTTTGGTGAGGAAGATTAGCCCTGAGCTAACATCTGTTGCCAGTCCTCCTCTTGCTGAGGAAGATTGGTTCCTCCGGAATAGCAGGAGGGCGCACGACTCGGTGAGGGGACATTTGAGTGGAGGGGGAGCCGGGGTGTGAGGAGGAGGCGGGCACAGAGGCCTTGGGGACAGCAAGTGTGCAGTTCTGCCCCATAGGAGCTGGGGGCACTTGCTAAGGGGAGGAGCCTGAATTTGATCCTAATCGCTATGGGAAGCCTTAGAGGGTCACAGAAAGGAGAGAACAGTGAAAGAAGTTTGGGGGCTTTTAAGAACGAGAGGAAACAGCTCTTTTTAATTCATATTCATTTTTAGTTAAAGATGCAAATGAAAGGTTATTGGCTTTTGGATTTGTTTCCTTCATTAAATTCCATCCCATGTTAATTCCTGCCAACGGGAGACAGTGGTCTGGGGACTGTGCGTGTGATTGTGTCCCTCAGATGTTTGGGGACACAGCGCACCCACTGTCAGTCTGGGCATAGCTGTGGTTTTCCTAGATAGAGGGCTGCGCACGCAGGAGGATGCTCCTAGTATGTGGTGGTGCTCAGCGTGTGAGCCAGAGCCTGGTCGTGGGTCTGGAGGGTCCTGGAGGGCCAAAGCCATTCAGGAGTGCCGGCTCTCTCTTCAGGGCAAATGGCATGTGGTTCCATTGACTTCGGGGTTTATGGACTCCAGAAATATGACCAGAACCAGACCACCTCCCACCCCCTGCAGCGCGGCCATTCTGGCTGGCCCAAGCACCCTCGTATCTCCTCTGGGTCTTTGCAACCTGCTGCTTCCATCCTTGTCCTACTAGAGTCTGTTCTCCCAGTGAGCAACCAGTGAGCCTAAAACAAAGAACCGCGTCGCGGCTGTAAGAGCTGCAGTCCTCAGGGCCCACCCCTGCCCCCGCTGTCTTCCCTGCCCCACTGCCCTGATCGCCTCACTGTGTGTATTCACCTTGCTCTTCCTCCAGTAACCAAGGACACTCAGCCTCGGGGCCTTTGCATTGGAAGCCTTTCTCCCTGGATATCTGCTTAGAGACCTGCACCTCTCTCCCTCTCCACCCCCAGTGTCTTCCTCTGTATACCAGGGGTGTTGTTATTTCTGCTCACGAAGTTGTAGTCACGATTCGGTTGTACAGAAGAGTCCGTTATATAATTACAGAGAGCTGTTGGTTCCCTTCTGTACCCTTCCCTCCCCTGCTTATCAGTTCCTTCAATGACTGTGAACCCCTTCCCCCAAAGACGTGCAGTCTGTGCCTATGTCTTAAGAGCTACTAATGATTTGACCTTGACCTCATTAAAAACAAAAAGTAACTCAGCCCCTGCTGTTGGGTGGGTTGTAAGCAATTACCTGAGCGAGCCTCACCCCTGGAGATTCTGATGGAGTATGTCTGGGATGGGTCCCCAGAAGCTGTCTTTTTTTTTTTTGGTGAGGAAGATCAGCCCTGAGCTAACATCTGATGCCAATCCTCCTCTTTCTTCTGAGGAAGACTGGCCCTGAGCTAACATCCGTGCCCATTTTCCTCCACTTTACATGGACACCGCCACAGCATGGCTCGACAAACAGTGCGTCAGTGCGCGCCCAGGATCCGAACCCGCGAACCCCAGGCTGCCGCAGCGGAGCGCACGCACTCATCCGCTTGCGCCACTGGGCTGGCCCCCAGAATCTGTCTTTTTCACAAGCTTGGAGCCAATTCTGAAATGCAGCCAGGCTGGGAATTCCTGAAATAGACTACCAGGACAGGAAACACCAGAGGAACACAAGCCCCTGTGGACGTCGTGTTCTCGGGCCAATTTTTTGCCTGAAGAATAGGTTCTCAGTCCTGGCTCCATGTGCAGAGTCACCTGGAGAGCTTTCAAAAAATACTGCTGCCCAGGCCCATGACTGGATTCCCCAGGTGATGCTCATAGCCTGGGGTGACAGTCATGCCAGAAATGTCACTGCACAAAGGGCACGATCTGCTCACTGTGAGACAAAAGCCAGTTGTCAGGAGGCAAGATGGTGGAAAAGAAAGGGCAGTGTATTCCAGCTTGCTAGCAAGGGAGAAGATGGCCGCCTAATGTCTCAAAGAACCATCTTAAGGGGACACAAAATCTTACAGCAGTTATATAGGCCGGTGGGTTACAGGGGAGGGAGTTAGGAATGTTGACCCTGTGGTGTTACAGACTGGGACTCCCACACCAGATCTTTCAGTTCTCATTGTTGATGGCTATCAGCATAGACTCTCTGTTCGGGGGTCATCACATTCCTAAGGAACTCAAAACAACAAAGTTATCTTATCACAACTGGGAGGTATGTGCACAAGCAGGGGTTGTAAAATCCA